CCTAGATTTCTAGCCATTTCCCACCAAGGGACCATCCAGACAACCAACATCAACACCACTTAGAGCAGAAGAATTACTCAGAAGAATGAGTCCTACCCAAGAGAATGGAAGCTCTTCCTCTCTTTTCTTTCCTTCCTTAACAATTCAGTCTTAAAGTGGCTCACTCACTATGGAGCAGAGCAAAGTAAACATTCTTAAGTTTAAGGAAGTGGGAAAAAAGAATAGAAAATTCACCAAGAAAATAAAAATAATAAAATATATTTTTTCAAATTTCATCTTTGTCAATATCTAAAAATATGCATACTAAACATTGAGATATACTTTTATATACCAAAAAAACCTTAATGGGAATATCCAAATCCAGCAAAGATAAGGAAGCAAGAATTTTATATACACAGCTGTTAAACCTTTCAGAAAGTAATCTGGCTCTATATATCAAAATACTTAAAAATGATTTGTGCCTTAAATATTAAATATGAGTATTGATTAAATATGTTTTGTGCCCTTTGGACCAGTAATTACACATATGAAAAGTTATTTAGGGAAAGGTGAAATTCCAAAGAAAATGCTTTATATGTAAAGATGTTTGCTATAGTATTTTTTATGACATTAAAATATTGGAAAACCATAAGTGTCCAATAACAGGTAAACAAGTATATAAAGTACATGTCATCTACTAAAGGAACTATTATGCATCCTAAAATTGTGCCTGAAAGAACTACAAAGTTGCTTATGCAATACTTTGCTTATATAATTTTTTTAAAAGCATGAAAATACAGAATGTAGTATGATCATAATGCATAACAAACACAAAAAGAAATACAAGGTTAAAGTTGTCTGTGTGAATAGAGCTTTGGGGCATTCTTCCCTCGTCATATGATGAATGCAAAACAAATCTCTCAGCTGTAACAAATTTGGTGTAATTTGGGCAACTCATTCAGTTCAACAGGCAAGTCTTGGGGCCTAAAAAACGCCCTCAGTTATATTATCAGTAAACATTCTGTGTTAAGCAATTTCAAAAGGAAAACATGTTTTCATCATGCAACACTTGAGTCTTGACAAGGAAGGAAGGAAGGAAGAGGCAGGAAGTGGGAACATTTTACAGAGCTTTCACAGACTTACAGTTTAGTTCTGCACTTCCTCAAAAATGCTGTCATCACGTGCAGTCCACATAGCTTTCCAAAAATAAATGTAATCAGTGGTGCACAAATTCTATTCATCATTTCTCCAATGGCATATGCTTCATATCTACAGATCAGCTCTCCTGTCCATGAGATTTGTTTAGGCCAAAGGAAAGCAGCAGTAGCATTTCCAAAAATAAAACCAGAAAAATAAGAACATAAAAAATAAATAGATAAACCAAGTTTGGAGAAAAATATAAGAAACTCAAATACCAACCTACCTTCTTGATCATGAATGTTCATATTCAAAATCAATTCAACATACTCAAAAATAATTATTAACACTATTATTAACTAATAGCTAATACTGATGTTAATTGCTCTTTCACATAATTTTCATTTAATATCACTTAACATTAAGGATTAATTAACCATATTAATGACATTATTAATATAAAATGTTATTTAATTATATTAAGTGCTACTTTAATATTCAGCTTTCACATAATTTCTTTCATTCTGTCATCACAAAGATTGATATTGTTAATCAAAATAAAAGGGTCAATATTATTACCACATTTTTCAAAGGAGGAAGCTGAGGCTCAAAGAGGCTAGATTATTTGCATGAGGTCAAATGTCTAGACAGGGCAGAAGCCTTTTCACACATGTAGAAAAGGCAGATCTTGACAAGTCTCCAAACTATGCTATGTGCTTCAGCGTGCTGCCTCCCTTTCTAAATGAAGCTGCTGGAATAGTGGTGGCATGGATGGAGTTAGCCCTCCTTTAATGTTGTTAATTACAATTAGTTGCACTGTGATTCCAAAATGATGAATTTAAAGTCTGATGCCTAAGCATAATGGAGTTATATTTAAAAGGCAAAGAAATATATCTGGACAGGAATCAAAATGTTTTCATTTAACTAAACTCTCATATTGAAATATATACTTACCCCTATTTAGCCAACTTTAGTTCTTTACCTTCAGACATCAATTTAAAATAACGCATTACTGCAGACTGATTTCTCAAGATAGCAGCATGAGTAGGGTGGTGGAAATCTCCCAAAATCATATATATTTTGAAAATACAGCAAATACAACTACTCCTAAAAGAGTGACCAGAGGATACAGTTCACCAGCCAGGCTACATCTACATCTGCGAGACCTCAACATCTCCTGAGATGGTAAGATACAAAACTGTAACCCTGCAGAACCCAAGCACTTCCCCCATCCCAGCTCACAGGTGGACTGCTAAATAACCAGTCCTAGTAATCTGCACCAGGAGCACAGACACACACTGCATGGTGTACTGGATATTAGAGGAATGGAAAATCAAAATCCGAGACTAAGACTGTGAACAGTTTCCTACAGCGGCTACCCTGAGACCAAAGAAAAGCAGATGCTTTAAAAGTCTTAAAGGGACAAGGGTTTAACAGGTGGACAAAATCGTCCTGGCACACTCAGCCCAGCAGGCTGGGAACTTTAAGGAACTTCAAACACCCTAACCCCCCTGTAGCAATGCACCTCCAAATTCCCTCACAGCGATAAGCAGCCTGCCATTCATTTCCCCCAACCAGCACTGCAAGTGAATTGCCTGATGTGCCAGTGCTACAGAAGAACAGGGGAGCAGCCCTGCCCACAGCAACCACACAGAGGCTTCTCCCAGCCTGTGGATAACTGGGATAGACCCAGCGGCTGTCCCCTGCCCACAGGTGACTGACACAGACAGCGGAGACCGGCACAGAGTCTGGAAGGCACAAAGGGGTTTTATTCTCATGGCAAACATGCACTGCTCACCTGAAATCCCCACCAGTACCCTAGGCCATCCACCCTAGTACCCTAGTACCCACCCACTGCAGCTCAGGGGATTAACCCCAGAGGCTGCCCCCTGTGTGCAGCCAACCAGCACAGGCAGAGGAAACTGGAGCAGAGTCCGCAAAGCACATAGGGGCTCTGTTCTCATGGCAAACACATGCTGATTGCCTGCAACCACTGCCAGTGCCCTAGGCCATCCTGAGAGCTGCCCTGCCAATGGCAGCTCAGGCGATTAACCCAGAGGCCGCCCCCTACACCTGGTTGACTGGCACAGGCAGAGGAAACTGGTGCAGAGTCTTCCAAGCATTTAGGGGCTCTGTTCTCACAGCGAACACATGCTGATCAACTGCAACCATTACCCCAGGCCATCCTGAGGGCCACCCTGCCCATGGCAGCACAGGGAATCAACCCAGAGGCTGCTCCCTGTGTGCGGTTGACCAGCACATGCAGCAGAGATGGGCACGGCAACCAGCAAGCAGGAAGGGACTTTGTTCTCCCAGCTGACACATGTGCCACTCACTGGCAATTACTACCATTGCCATGAAAAGGCAGAAGAACCTTGTTCAGTCCAAAATCCCTCAAACACCAGAGAGAGGGTCTGGTGAAACCGAAATCATCAATCTTCCTGAAAAAGAATTCAAAATAAAAGTCATAAGCATGCTGATGGAGCTACAGAGAAATATGCAAGAGCTAAGGGATGAATTCTGGAGGGAGATAACAGAAATGAAACAAACAAAAGAAGGATTTAAGGGCAGACAGGATGAGCTGGAAGAGACTGTTAATGGAATAGAAATCAGAGAGCAAGAATACAGAGAAGCTGAGGCAGAGAGAGATAAAAGGATCTCTAGGAACGAAAGAATATTAAGAGAACTGTGTGACCAATCCAAATGGAATATTCGCATTATAGGGGTACAAGAAGAAGGAGAGAGAGAAAAATGGATAGAAAGTGTCTTTGAAGAAATAATTGCAGAAAACTTCCCCAATCTGGG